TATTTATTTGACAGAGAGAGACACAGCGAGAGAGGGAACACAAGCAGGGGGAGTGGGAGAGGGAGAAGCAGGCTTCCCGCCGAGTAGGGAGCCCGATGCGGAGCTCGATCCAGGACCCTGGGATCATGACCAGAGTCGAAGGCAGATGCTTAATGACTGAGCCACCCAGGCGCCCCAGACCTGAAGAAATTAATAAGATCACGAGTCGCATCTTGGAGATCGAGCACATAGGGGCATATTCTGTACATGTATGTGCTCGTCTGTCTGTCCTTCCCTCCTGTCCCATAAACCCAAGTGAGCCTGCAGAGCTGTTCTTGCTGCTGTAACTTTGCGTTAATGAAGGAGTCAGAAGGAGAAACACAGCAATTGATATTTCTTTTGCAATTATAGCTCTTCTCCCTTCAGAACAAAGTCAGATACTGAGAGAAGGAACACACACACACGTGTGACTCACCAGACTGGAGGTTTCAGTTTGAACAACCTCTCAGCTGCCTGGACGGCCTTCCCGACATCATTGGCCAACATGCTGACGTTGAAGAACTGACCCACATCCCAGTAATTGTTCATTTTCTCCAAGCTCCCTTTTCTTCCCAACAAACTGTTTAGCCGGACACCTGAAGAATTTGAATTTTAGATGAAGTTATGCAAAATCTTTCTAGCTTCTCTCCTATTATGCAAGCCTTTAGAGAGAGGAAAAAGCATGCACTTTATTTTGGCTACTGTCTCAGAAGTGCGATCAGAGAGTAACTGTTCCTTTTGAAATAAAATGCTAGTTATTTGGAGATAATTTTTAATGCTGAATTTGGGTGACCAAAGCCTATCAGTATCCATGATCATAAATAGCTTTACCTATCTTCCTTAGTTCCATGGAAGTTTCAAATTGTTGTCCGGCAACTATCAGCAAAACTGCCAGGTTGATTCCTGAATAAAGAGATGACTGGAGCTCAAATCCTTTGCGGTACCTGTAATGACAGACCCGCCAGATTCTTATCATTATGGTAGAAGGAAAAAATGATAAATAATGGCACAAGCCGACCTTCTCATGAGCTCTTTCACCACCTATGGTTTTCCAGGCCCCCTCCCCCTTTACAAACAGCTACATCCAGCACTCAAATAGCTTCTTAAAAATGTTATCATCATAACACTAGGGAGTTAAAAAAATTTTCTTCATCAGGTTTATATTTTCATGAAAAACCATGATCACTGTATGAAAGGAGGACGTTAAAGTGCACAAAAGAAATGTAAAATCTTTTATAACCCTACCCACAAAAGGAGACCACAATTGGATGTCCAAATCTCATCTTAAAAGTGACACTCCATTTGTACATGGAGCATTTTTTATTATAGAGCAATTCCATCAATTGTAGGCTATTACTCTGCAGGCTGTTTGTTTGCTTTTATCACAAAATGGAGTCAGTTTTCCCTGTAGGAAGCGGTGCTGACAGAACCCTGGCCCCAAGATTGCTCGGAGAGTCGTGGCATCAAGTGGGAGAAGGAGCAGGGATCTATTCCCCTAGGGTAAAGAACTCTATCCAAAACATAGAATACCATTTTTATTCCATAAGTTTAAAGAGTGCTATTTTAGTTCTCTTACTACTTTTTTTTTCTATACATAGAAAGCTGCTTTCCCTTCCATAAGCGAGTAGGAATATCATAACCAGGAAAAAAAAGAATTTGATCAATGAAGTAATGACAATGAAATGTCTTTAAGTGGCACAGTTCAGAGCAAAGACTTGTAAACCAGGAGGAATTTGATCACTTGTGCAACAGCAAGAGAATTAAACACCAAGAAAATACTCATTGTGGAAGGGAGAACCTATTATTTAAGTCAGTTAAATTTCAGTTTTATGAACTTTGGGGCGTAACACTGAGTACGCTAAGAAAGTTGTTTCAATCCCAGCCAACAAAATTCCAATAAAATTGAACCCCATCCCAGTATGTTTTGGGGATTTTCAATACCACATCCTATGGTATTTGATTTTTCCCCCACCTTCTTTTACCATCAACAGTTATCTGGGAAGAGGGTGGACTTCTCTCTGCCTCTCATCCGTAAATCCAACAGGCCCAGCTTAGGGGATGACGAGCCTTGAACGTGGAGTCAGGACTACAGTCCCAGGTTTGCCTCTTCCCAGCCCCCTGCCTCCCTGAGCCACATGTTCTACCTCAGTACTGGAGAGCCTGGGTTAGATGATCCCAAGGTCTCACCAGAGCTAACATCCCAGAAGACTAGGCTTCATTTGCCCCCCTGGACCCACCACCTTCTGAAGTGGATGGAGAAAGGCTCCTAGGACTTTCTTGAAGGAGCCACAGGTAGTGATCTCCTGACCTGGGGGCTGAATTCCTGGCCACTGTGGTGGGAACACAGCTTCCTATTTTGGCCCTACCCAACATTAACTTCCCTTCAACACCCTGAGTGACTCCTAGCACAAGAGTGCATCAGGTGCCACTGGGGATTTACTAAGAATAAAACGGGGTCCCTGCCCTCCACAAAACTATACTATGGTGGAGGTACTAAGATCCCCACACACAATTAGTGAAATTAGGGAAAATACAAACCTGAGTGTGGTAAGTATCCTGAAACCACACAAATACAAGTCTAGAGGGACTCACAGAAGATATGTGGGCCCCCCCCAGAAGCCTAAGATATGGCATGAAGATGAACAGGCATACAGTGGCAGTGACTCAGAAAGGAAACACCCAACACAGAAAAAGGCAGGAGCAGAGATGGGAGCCTGCGGAACTCCCAGGAAACTTCAGTTCAGTTGGACATAGATCAGGTAGTGGGAACTGGGGCTCAGGGTGGGTTGGAGAAAGTCTGCTGAGCACCTAGAATGGTGATCTAAGAGTCTGAATTTTTTTTAATGGGGAATGGAGAGCCACAGTGGGTCTTTGAGCTTTAGGAGGAATAAGGAATGGTGGTTCAATCTATGAAGGATTGACTTTAGAGACACTAAAAAGAGAGCCTACTTGGGATATTGTGAGAACATTCGTGGCAAGAAAGTAAAAAAAAAAAAAAAAAGGCACCAACCCAGGGTGGAGGAGATGAGAGTGAGGGAAGATGCGGAGAAGGGCTAAATTGGGACCTGACCGTGCAGCGAGGTGAGTGAGTGAGTTATCAAACATTCACAAAAAGTCTAAGTGTAGGAGGCCAAAGAATGGTAGTAAGAAAGCAAGGCACTGGAAGCCATCCCATGTGGAGAGAAGAGGACGTTAGCCTTGGATACACTGCATCTTAAAGAGCAGCACCACCTTCAGTGAAACAAAGAGGGGGTGATGTGGGGCCAAAGCTCAGGACACAGTTTGGGTTGGAGATAGGCTAATGGTTGCAAGGTGTGAGAGTGACGGGGATCACCAGGGAAAAGAGTGGATGGTGAGAAGAGGGGAGAGGATAGAGCTGGACAGAGCCGGACAGAGCTAGAGGAGGAGAGGGAAAGGGGAGGCAGTTAGAACTGAGGGCGGAGCAGTCATGTCAAGAGCTCCTGTGACAGAAATGGATGAGTTAAGCTGTTGGCTCCACCTTCAACTGACATGTCTAGCTTCTGACGTCTCCTCATTTTCATCACCACCACCCTGGCTCAAGCTACCACCAGCTCTTCCCTGAATTACTGCAGTCATCTCCTAGCTGTTCCCTACTTCTGCCCTTGCCCCTGTGCTAGGTTATTTAATAGCCACACATCCTCCTCATCCCACTACACATGTGACTTTGTCATTTCTCCCACCCGTGGCTGGAGTCCAGTTCTCCACCCCCTTGAATTTGGGCTAACCATGCGATTTGCTTGTGATGTGACAAAGAGCATGTGGCAGAACTGACCTCCTGGGAGCTCTGGAGCTGAAGCCTCAGAGGCTTTTGCAGCTTCCACCTTTACTCTCTAAGAATGCTGCCCACCATGTAAGAAAGCTGGTTGGCCAGGATTAGAACCACAGGCAGAGAACGGAAGTGCACCACCAACATCCAGCACCAGCTGCCAAACCGGTGTGAGGCCATCTTGGACCTTCCAGCCCTGCTGAGCCTTCAGCTGACTTCAATTTTAGGAGTGAGCCCAGCACGTTAGGAGTGGAACCAGCCGAGGAGCGGCCTGGCCAATCCAGAGAATCATGAAAAACTATAAATCACTCTCTTAAGCCACTAAGTTTTGGACTTGTTTGTTATGCAGCAAATGATAGCTGATACAGCCCCTGGAAATGTATTCTTTGCATAACAGTGAGAGCACGCTGGTGAAAGACACATTGGATCTCGTCACTGCTCTGCTCAGGGCACTCCAATGTTATATCATCTCGCTCAGAGTCCAAGGGTCTTCTCCTCTCCCCTTTCCTGCCTCTCTCCCCTCACTTATGCCTCACCATCCTGAACATGCCCAGCAAGCTTCCCCCTCCGGGTTGTGGCACCAGCATACAGTAAACCTTCAATCAACATTTGTTAAATGAATGAAGGAAGGAAGGAATGAACAGCTCACTCAGAAGATAATGCCCTGATGGTGGTAGAACAAAATTCTGGAAGGAGTAGCAGGGAAGGAGCATGCTGATTCTCCTTCCTGCCCCTATAAATGAGTGAACTTGTGGGAAGAATGTCACCACTACAAAAACCTGTTTCTAATGGTTTCCTTTCAGAAAAAGGCATCTGGAAATTCCCAAACCACATTTACGCCTTTTTTCCCCCCACTGCCGGCAGACAGGCAGGCAGGCAGATACATTGATAGGGACAAGACCTGGATCCTTAGCCTCTGCAATTCTGTTCTTTGCAGAGATGTTCATGCTACTGACTAGGATGGAGGGTTTACCACTCAATGGCGTTGTCTCGGCTGGTGTCATCTTTGCAGTCTGAATCCAAGAAGATGTCCTTGTAGATCCTCCCACACAGGCAGAACATGTCGGGGGCCGGGTGGTCACAGCTCTGCAGAACCTGGAGCATGATCTGCAGAGCCTTCTCGCGGTCGCCTGCATTGTTTCTCCTGAAAGATTTGTGTGGTAAGATCACACATGTCTGAATTAAGATGCGGGAGTATATATGTGCTTGTTCTGTGAAGGGCTGGTAAAAGGATGCTGTGCTTTAGCAGGAAACAAAATCTAACTCATTTTTTCATGTTCAAATATAACTGCTTCAGACCCACACCACAAAATCGCACACTGTCACAGTCCCTCCTTGGTCCCTTCTCTCAATGAGACCTAGACTGTGGATGAAAGCAAATGCAGACAGATGTGTCCGCAAAGAGAAAAAATAACACGGCAGCCTCCTGTATCTAGATGAACAGCAAGGGTTTCAGAAGCTAAGCCTGAATCGTGATGATCACACAGTTTGACAAAAGATTCTTCTGGAAAAGCAGCAGGGCCTGCAAATTCAGAAAGCCAAGAGAAATTTATTTCTTGATCTGTGATGCCTTGCCGTCCTCAAATGGGCCAAGACCCTAGCAATCCCTGTTTTCCAGTCTCATGTTATATCCACCAGAAAAGAAAATTTTGAAAATTATTTCTATATTCATATATCAGTCTTCTCTCTTACTAGATTATATGGTAAAAATTTTCATTTTCCACACAGGTAGTGGATTCCTCAGACCGTTGTTAAAATAATCTTTGCCACAAAAAACCTGAGTTTGTGACTGTGAAATATTATGTCTTCCTGTGAAGGTATGGAAGCAAATGCCCAGCAGTGGTGGAGACTGAGGAAATCAACTATGGCTAATGATGTTCATTTTATAATATAAAAAATTAAACACCTGTAAAAAGAAGTAATTTCTATATAGTACTGCTATGGAGCGATCTCTAGAATATATTATTAAGACGAGAAGGCTATGTATTCAATACTGTGCACAGAAACCTACCTTTTTATTTAAGCAAGGGGGGGGGATGTGAATAGAGATATGTACCTACTTTTATTTTTTCAAAATGAAAGGATAAACCCAAAGGTAATGGAAGTGCCCACCAACAGGTGGAGGGAGAAAACAGGATGAATGGGACAGGAAAAGAAATTCACTTTTTGTAATTTGACTGAAACTACGGAAGTTTTTTACACAATTATAAAAGAAAATGAAGTAAAACAATTTTAAGTGTTCCCTAAAAACACCATTTGCCAATAAATACCATTTGAGTTTGTGGCTGCAGCAAAACAAATGAACCTCTGCATGTGGCTGACGGCTTACCCACCAAAGAGAAACTAATTCACATGTTTTTTAAAACACAGCAATTTGACCATAGTTTCTTAAGAGGATATAACCTAAGGAGAAAATATAAATGCCAAGAAATCTTAAATAGTTTCCAATAATCATATTGTTAGTGAAAATAATGGTACTGGTATTTTGAAAATATTACATATTTGTAGTGCAGAATACAACGAAATAATGAGGTTAGTATCATTAGGAACCAGAGATACGCATAAGAGATAAATAAAATCCAAGAAATTCATTAAAAATCCTACGGTCCTAAGTTTGAATTGGAACATCACTATGAATTCACCAAGTGGTTTCCCTAGCTCTGTCTACTGAAAAGGACCAAAACAATGACCAACTCAGCAGCAATGAGAACCCCCAAGCCCTGATCGGGGTCTATAAATACCATGTCTCACTACACGGAACCAGGACTCCGTGGAGGAATGGCTGACTCCAGATAGGTCTAACATGATCCTGGAACATCTTAATACAAAGACACAAAGAAGCTACTAAGCTCATATGAAAAAGACTCAGGAACCAACAAGAATCCGTTTTGGGCCAAAGAGGGGACAATGTGAGCGTTAGGAAGAACAATAACTATAAAGGATTAAAACATATCAACTGTATTAAAATGATGAAGGGGAAACCTCTATACCCAAAAAGACAAGCGTCTTATCAACCAAATGCTATGTATAGACCTTGTCTGGACCATGACTCAAACAAACCCACTGTAAACATAAAACTAAAGTCAGAGAGGTAACTGGAAAATGTCAACACTCATACTGAGGAATTATTGCTCATCTTGAGGTATAACACAATCGTGACTCTGTTTTGTAAAAGTGTCCCTCAGACAACACTGAAATCTCTGTGGATAAAATGGCAGGTCTTGGCTGCATAATGCATCTGGTGTTAGGGTACGAGGGAGTGGGTGGGGTGAGCAGGAAACAAAAATGACATGCAGGGGTAATTATTGAAGTGGAGAAGGGTTACATGGGGGTTCACTACATTATTTCCTACTTTCGGCTGTGTTTGAAGAAGTCCATCCCGACTCAACAATTCCACTTCTAGAATCTGTAATTTAGAAAAACTCTTATCTATCTTCAAGAAGTTTTGAACAAAGATGTTTATTACGGTTTTGCCCCTAACAATGAAAACCTGCAGATAACCCAAATGTCCTTTAACATATGAATGGTAAAACATATTTCGTAACAACCAAACTATGGAGTATCATGCAACCCTTAGAAAGAGGCAAGTCTGTATGTAATTATATAGAAGAATTTCCATAAAGTTCATGGAGAAAATTCCTGAACAAAATGAACAGCACAATCCTATTCTTTGCACTCAACACTATTCACATACAGTTTGTGTGCAGAGACAATGCCTGGAAGGATACACATTAGATTGTTCAAAAAAAAATCATTGCTGGGATTTGTACAAGGTGTTCCTGTGCATGTTTTACCAGTAACTATTCTAATAAATGAATAAAGAGATTATTCTTTTTAATTTCTTGGCAATTTTACAGCAGGCTCTTTTATGTTTTCTTTCTGAAGGACCTGTACCTCATAAAACTACTGCATCATTCGAGAGACAGATTAGTACCTCAAACAGCTTTTCTCAACTGGGGATCTGCTAGCGCATTAAGCCCTAGAGAAAATTATTTGATTATCTGAGTGACTATTTTCTCCCTTCTCCCAAGTATGGGACTTAGGTAGCCCCATTCTGGATGCATAAGAGAGTTCATTCAATTGATACAATGGATGCCTTAGGGCATTAGGGTTTAATTCTCTGTGGAACCCAAACCGGGTTGAGAAGTGCTAATCTAGACACTTGGCATTCTTCTGGAAGGCTGCAATAATTAAGCCTGTACTACAACTCTAACTTTTTCTATTTTCTACCTTAGTCTTGTTCTCACATATTTGATCTCTACTCTCTTTGTCCATAGAATCCAATTCTACCAGCCTGCAAACCAGATCTCTTAATGAACAGCCCACCCATGATACCTTCTCATTTTTAAGAGCCAACAGACACCAACCCAATTCAAATTTACTGGAGCATTTAAATAATTTCTACGGTCTGTGGCAGGAAAATGCAAAAGATTAAAACTTTAATGAGGTACAAAATTTCTCCATCTGTTATGAGCCAACTTTTGAGGTGTGAAATATTCGGGATTCTGAAAAGAATGTACTTAACACTTTTAAATGCTTCATTACTGATCCGGGTTCGGGTTCGTTTGTTTGGTTTCCTTTGGACCATTTACAGCAACATTTCCCTTGAATTTTTTCCATTAACTTGAAACCTACCCTTGTTACTCAAACCAAAAGGTCTTCTTAGGATATATAAAAACCAACCCCAAAAACAAACATTTGCAAAAATTAAAAGCAAAGCAATTTTCAGCTTAAAAGCCACTTTAGGACAGGTGCTAAATAGCTTATCCCTTTAGTGGTTAATCATCAGTTTTCAGATCTGTTTATCATTTTCAGATCCCAAAGTATACATGAACAAGTCTATAGATAAAAACTCCCATGTTTAATCAGTCTGGCAACATGTTTCTGACAATAAAGCCATTTCACACATTAAGAGATAGATAGGAATTAAGACAATGGGGGTTGCAACCTTGGCTTGCATATTAGAATCACCTCGGAAACTTTAAAAACCTTTGCCTTGAGGTTGCACTTGAGACCAATTAAATCATTGTCTGGAGATGGGATCCAGGCATCAGTGTGCCTTATCCTGGATATTCTGATTCAGTAGGTCTGCGTCACTGCTGAATGCACTGACCACTTCTCAGCCCTTGTCATATCTGACCTACCGGTGGCACTTGAGAGTTGAGTACTCCTTCCTCCTTGGGATCACTCTCATTTGGCTTGCAGGACATCACACACTCCTGATTTTCTTTCTACTTTAGTCTAATTTTCTAGCTTCTCTTCATCTCCCCAGTCTTTTAACACTGGAGTGTCCTTAGCACAACCCCTGGACCTTGCCTCTTTATCAGTAACTACACTAGATCCCTTGGTGGTATCATCTAGGGTCCTGCTTTTTCAAACCATCCATATTCTGATGACTCCCAAATTCCTATCTCCAGCCCAGAGCTCTCCCCTAAACTCCAGGTTTACATATACACCTGCCTTCCTAGCATCCCACCTGCATGTCTAATACCTCAAACTTGATGTGTCCAAAACTCAACTGTTGATTGTCCTATCAAAGCTGTTCTTCTCCACTTTATTTAATAATGCTCAGTCCACTCCTCCTGTTTTTCATGCCAAACACTTTGGAGTCACGCCTCATTTCTCTAACATTTTTTATTCAATCAAAAAATTCTTTATTTTCAGCCATATCCAAAAATAGCCTGCTCCTCATGACCCCCACCATTACTACCCTGGTCCAAGTAACCATCATTTCCTGCTTCCACCCTCACCCCTCTACAATCTATTCCCCACACAGCAGAGTGATCCTGCTAAACACTAAGTCAGACCATGTCATTCTACTACTCAAAACTCTCTATGCAAATCATATATCTGATAAGGAGTTAATATCCAAGATATATAAAGAACTCATACAATTCATTAGCAAAAAAAAAAGGTCTGATTTAAAAAATGGGCAGAGGAGCTGAATAAACATTTTTCCAAAGAAGGCATAAATATGGCCAAAAGACACAGGAAAAGATGCTCAACATCACTCATCATCAGGAAAATGCAATTCAAAATCACATTGAAACATCACCTCACACTTGTTAGAATGGCTAAGATAAAAAAAAAAAAACAACCCCAAGAGATAACAAGTGTTGGTGAGGATGTGGAGAAAAGGGAACC